TTGTGTAATAAAATCAGTAATCATCTACTATAACGAATAATTCGTTAACGCTATAACGAATTATTCGTTATACATTCTGTATAATTCATTATAGCGTTAACGAAGATTCTTATAACGAAATCCTGATCAACTGGATCAGTAACTTCGTTATATCGAGGTATGACTGTATATAATTTTATATAATAAGATTTTTATATATATATATAGTTTATGTCTTATATATGTATATTCTAAACAATTTTCTATTTATGTAAAATAAAATAAAAATATTTTAATTAATAAATAATATAAAAGTATTACTAATAAAATTATATTATAAATTATATAATTTCTATATTTTATAATTTAATTTTTATTAGAAATGAATTTTAATAAATAAATTTTTTTTTTACAAATAATAATATAATATATAATATTTTTTAAAATAAGTAATATATATTTATTATAATATTTTATTTTATTTTAGACATAAAATTATTATTTTAATTTTTTAAAATACTAATACAATAAAATAATTAATTATAAAAATATTTAATATATTCTTTATTATAAAATAATATCTTACTTTTAAATATTTTATAATAGTAATATTTAATATAAATAAATTCATTTTTGATTAATAAAATATCTACATCTTTAGTTTATTAATTTTTTATTAAGGTTTAAATATAACTTTACTATTTGTAAATTTTGATATAATTTTAGCTTTTCCTGAATTTTGCAAAGTTTAATAAAATTTTAATAAAATTTTATTTAATTTTATTTTTTATTATTTAGATAAATTGTAATTTATTTAGTAATTTTAATTAGATACTTTTAATAAAAATTTATTAGAATTAAAAAATCTATTAAAAGTTTTGAAAAAATTTTAACCTTTTAATAAAATATATATATTATAAGCTTTAAATTAATTTTTCATTTTATTAAAATCTTTAATTAAAAGATTTTAATATTACTTCTAATACTTTTAATACTATTTTTTAATTATAAATAATTTTAAATCTTATTTATTATGTTTTATTAATTACATATAATACTAATAATAAATAAAGCATTATTGTATTTAAAAGTTATAGTATATTATAACTATATCTATAAATATATATATTTTCTCTTTGTATCAAATTGTATCACATTCTTAAGTTTCTATTTTTACTATTTATTCAAAGGACTTGGTTTTTTTTTGAGTGATGAAATTTTATTTATTACATATATTTATTTATCATAATTAGAGTTAATAGAATTAGTTTAAAGTTAATTAGAATTAGTTAAGATAATTAGAGTAAAGTCTTAGCATATTATTATGAGAAAAATACTAGTATCTTCTAGTATAAAATAAAATATTCTAAAAGTTATAATATTAAAATAATAATTATAAAAATTGATAATTTATTTGTATATTATTAAAAAAAATTACTATTATGTTAGTAAAATTAATTATAATTAATAAACTTAATAATTATATAATATATTATAAAGTAATAATGTTTATTAGAAAAGTAGAAGTTATTGAAATTTTCTAATTCTTTTAATTTTAAGTTTTTCAATATCAATAGATTTTATCAAAAGATTAAAAATACTTAAATATATAATTTATATAATTATTTTAAAAATAAATTATATAATTTTATTGAAATTTGATATTTATTTATTAAACCTTAAAAAAATATCAAAATTTTAATTATAATTTTAGATAGTATAAATAAATAATAAAATATATAAAATCTATTTATATATTAAATAATTTTATTATAAAGTTTTAATTTTTTTATTAATTCAAATTTATATTAATTATTCATTAATATATACAAATTTTTTAAAAAAATTTTTATAAATAAGTTTCAAAAATCTTTAATTATTACAAGAAAAAGATAATAAATGCTTATTTATTTATTATAATAGTTGATTTTAAATATTTTTTTAAAATTATAAAATAATTTCTATTAAAACTTATTGAAATATAAATATAATATTAATCTTTATAAACTATATAATTATAAATATAAATCAAAAATTAAATAATCAATAAATTTTATGCAATAAAAATAATACTGATTATTGATAATATAAAATGGTTTTTTATATAAATATTTGATAATACTAATATAGAAATATAAAAAATAACTACTTATACTTATTATAAAAAGTTTATATTAATTTATTAGATCTTAAAATACCATTAATAAAGATCTAATTAATACTAAAGTTAGATTATTTGTATTGCATATTAAAATATAAAAAAAATGAATTATTAAAATAATAAATCTATAACTAAAGGTAAAATATAACTAAAGTTCTAAATAATTCAATTTAATCTAGATTAAAAGCTAATATAAATGTGAACTAAAATTTTAGTTTAATTTAATTTAGATCATTAATTTTAAAAATGCTAATCTAAATTTAAACTAACTATAAACTGATAAAATTCTGAATTAAATTAAAATATTTAAATTAATCTAAAAGTTTAGTTTAATTATATATGAATTTTAAAAGAATCTATAATTTATATACAAAACTTTTAGAAAATTTGCAATTTTATTATAAATTTTAAAGAGAATTTATGACTTCTAGAGTTTTGTAATATTTTTATAAACCTTAAAGAATATTTATAACTTTTATGATTTTTTAAATATTTTATAAAAAATTGTACTTTTTGCAAAAAAAGTATAATTTTTAAAAAGAATTTGTAAATATTTACATTTTTAAGAATTTATAAAAAAGTGTGATGTTTCAAAAGTTCACAAAAAAATTAGTTCTTTAAGAATTTGTAATATTTTTACAAACTTTAAAAAAAATTTGTAACTTTTTTTATAATTTTTAAAGTTTTTACAATTTTGTTAACTTTAAAAAGAAATTGTAAAAATTTTGTAATATTTCAAAAGAATTCACAAATTTTTTTGTAATTTTTTAAAATTTTTGTATATAAATTTAAGAATTATATATAATTAAACTGATTAATCTGAAATTGTTAGTTTGTTTGAATTTTTTTTAGTTTGGATTAAAATTATAATTTGAAAAAAATTTAAATTAAATTGAAAATTATGAGATTGATTTTTATATAATTTAAAATTAATCTAAATCAACCTAATTAAAATATTTTAGATTAACTTAAATTATTCAAAATTTTAAATATAACGAATGTTTGAAATAGAAATAAAAATAATTAAATAATATTTTAAATGAATTAGAAAAAAAATTTATAAAAAAAATTTCAAAATTATTTTGTTTTCAAAAGCATTATATCAATTAATTGAAATAGGTAAAAATTATTAAAATTTCAACTAAAAAATATTATTATTTTTACAAATTAAAGTATTTTTAATTATACAATTTAAATAAAAAAAATTAGTAGTTATTGAACTTAAAGTTTTATATTTAGTTAAATATTTGTTAAAATATATATTTATGATTATTTTTAACTGTAAAATAATTTATTTTCATTAAAATATTGATATTTTTTATTTATGTAATATTTATAAAAAGGTTTTACTAGATGTTTTGTAATAGAAAGGAAGGAAACTATCAAAAAATTTTTTGAATTAATATTAAATCTGGATTATTTTACTAAAAAAGAATATTTAGCTTATAAGTAAAAAAATTTTATTAATGGTAAAAACTTAGTAAAGATTTTATATTCTGATGAAATTAATGAAATATAAAATTGGTAAAGTTGGTAATTAGTAACAAATTTTATAATTTTAATGTTATCTAATGTGTGTTACACCACTTGCTTTATTAATGGAAACAAATATAGCAATGACCGACAATGCTATTTTTTTCATTTAAATAAGTTTTTCCATCAAAAAAAAGGGGAGAAGATGAAACATTCTATTTTGCTTACTCTGGTTTTCGCAGGTTTGGTTAGTTGTGCTTTAATTCCCAACAAGAGAGTTATTGTCAATAATGATGATCCTGACGATTATACTTTAGTAGAGGGAGTTCCTTATAATATTGTTCATTTGAAGTCCCGTATGAATTTAAATGGTGACAATTATGATGTTGATGTCAAAAATTCAAATTCGTACTGGTCCATTCAGAAAGCTTACGATAGTCTATATAACATCATACATTTGAATTCTTGCAGAAATTTAGACAGTAATATTCACAAAGTTTATACCAGCACTCCCGAATATGATAACCATTATCAACATTGGGAATTCACAAAGATTAAGAATGATACATATAACATTAAGCATCCGATTTCTCAATCTCGGAGTTTAGATAGCAACGGTTATTCGGTATATCTTGGAAACGAGTACAAGCACTACAATCCTTTTCAACAATGGTCATTTGAACCAGCAAATTATAATTTGACCGCTTTAGTGACAGAATTTTCATACCCCCCAGATCTAAAAGATCAACTGAGTCGGTACAAAAAACGTACCAATCTTTTACTTGGTAATATTACAATCAAGAACCCAACAAATGCAACAATAACAACAACAATTGATAGAATTGAAAAAAAATTAAATAGTTATACCGTGGAGATTAGGAAGGCAGAATTCCTAGGCAAGAAAGTTAGCGATCGACTTAGTATTTTTTTTCATATAAATGCGTTTGTATACGAGTGGTTAGGAATAAATACAGGTATAGATTGGAATCGTGAGGCTGAGAAACAATTTGTTTCACAATATGAGGAGATATATAGAGAAACCATATCAGAAGAAGTTACATATGGGATTAAAGAGCAAATTATGGTACCGCCTTTTAATTCAATAGAATTTGGGGCTACTATAGATCAGATTACTGTTGACATTCCATTTAATGCAACCATTCGAATTACCGGCAAAGCGGACCGACTGGATGAGTATGGAAATGTTGTTCCAATGACTGATGTTGATATTGATGCGCTTAAATGTTATCTTCAGAAGGAAAATTACAATATTATAAAGGTAGTAGCAGAAGAAAATTCCCTTATAGTCAGTACGAATGGTACTCTGAAAGTAGATGGATACGGATTGGCTTCAACGATTGAAACCAAGCCTATCTTTCATGATAATCCTCCGGATTCTAACGATCCCCCTACGGATTTTGGCGATATCCTTTGGCAATACAGACAATTTATTTATTTTGCAGGTGCTTTTGTTATTTATAAATTCGGTACAAAATTTTTCGAAAACCGAAATTACGTTGAAATTTGAATTATGTATATTATCAGTACTTTTGTTTTGTATATTGTGTTATCATCAAGACTCTTTACGTGGTTTTGGAGCCAAAAAATAAAAAAAAAAAATGTCTTAAGATGTGATTTTATTTACGAATTTATATTTCTAAATTTTATGTTCATAATCTCTACTAGTTTTAATTGAAGTATGATTCTCATCAAATTCTTCGAGAACCTTTTCAATCATTTCATCATAATCATCATAACTTAAATCATCTACAAAATCAACGATGGGGTTTTTATAACTTATGAATAATCTGGAATAATGGGAATTGATCTATTAAAGGAAGAAAAAAAATTAGTTTATTTCAATTGCGGAAAAAAAAAAAAATCTAAAAATATTTGTTTAAATTATTTACCAATTCACCAATTCTTCCAGGCATTCCGAAATAAAATCTTATTTCTTCATGTTGAATGTTGCTATTAATTCTAACCTTGTATACAATATAGGGATCTATTCCTTTTAGATTCATACAATTTGTGCACTATTGAATTATAATGATATGTAAATGAAATTATAGTAATCCATTTATTATATTACTCTTTGAAATCAGGTGCTGCATGGATACTTACTATACGAGATCATCATTCACCTTCAGGACCACCATTCCAGAATTTATCATCAAACTCCATGAGCTTAAAAAAGAAAAAGAATATTCATCTGTGTGAATTTTTGTTTCATTACACGCAATCAAAGATATTGTTTTCAAAAGGTAATCCAATCAAGGTATCACATTGATAAAGTTAAGATTCTTTGGTTTGTTTTTTGGTTCAGGAATGGGTAAAATATCGGTACCAAGAAATTACAATTGCTATATTCTTTTGCCATATCCATTAACCAAGACGCGGCGGGATGGTAGACAGCGTCAAGAGCTTTTGCACCACCTGCATTTAACAAATCTTCAACTGGGGAAGAAAAATTATTTTGCCATGTCGATTTAAAAATTTCATGAGATGCGATCGTTCTCTCCTTTTCATGAGTTTGCTAATGTAAGAAATGCTAGTGAATTTTTTTGAACTTTCAACGGCTTGTTCAATATTTGCTTTTCTTGTTATTTCAGGCATTAAAATGTGCGTTGCTGCACGAACTTGTGTTTTAAACCTTTAAATGTTTACAAACAATAATCATTTATATTGTTCTTTTCTCTTTGAAGTTATTTTTATCCATGAGAATCTCCGAAATCCAATGAACTTTATGGTTTTTTTCTTACGCCAATTTGTCTCGCATATCTAAGAGATGTAATGCATTATTACGTTTTATGATTTAATCAAGCTAATTTTTTTTTTATCGAAAAATCTTATGGCTACGGCAGTATATTGAATCACGAGGATAAAATATGATGTTTCTTTGTCGTTATTTCGCATACAATTTAATATTGTTTATTTGCTTGTTAATTCAAAAAAAAAAAAAAAAAAATCTTTTTTTTGTGATTATCGTCAAATCGGCGAGTAATTTTGCAGTTGCAAGCTTGAACATATTTTTTAGGTAGGCTACAAAAATTATAACGCGACATATGAATCTGAAAAATGTAAGGAAACGCACCAAAACCTGCAAAAACTCATGTTTCGAAGGCGTTACGACTTTGGCACGCTTCAAATGTCTCGACGATTTCTTTACGCACACATCGACGTTCTATTTGATAGGAGAAGGCGTTAGCATAAACCAATTGTTTGTCATATCCATGAAAGATGAGATATCTTTTCAAAACGTTGAGCATCTCTTTTGTAGGTTTTGTAAATTCCTTACATTTTGTCCGGATGTCGGATACATAAGAGATTTCTTTTATTAATTATTCTCGATTCAAAGTAACTAAGAATTAAAATGTTAATTTTTGGTTTTTTTTTTTTTTTTTTTTTTTTTTTTTTTTTAAAAAAAAAACATAAATTTCGATAAATTTAAATTTTATGTAACCATGTGGGTAAATCAAATTTGTAGAATAATTTAAAAAATATTTTTTCCTTGAATGATCTGATATATGCGTGTGTATTTGTTATCCTTTGAAGATAATATAAACTATACATTATAACTTATAATGGAGATGAATCATTACCAAAATGGCAAAAATTTCTATTTTATAATATAGTTTTTTACGATCTAAAAAATTTATCATGAGAAAAAAGAAATATGGATAAATTTTATATTATCCCTAAGGCATATTAGAATTTGGTTAATTCCAATCGGGAATTCTGAGAAATACGATGTCAAAAATGGTGTTCGGAGAAGTCTGTATTTTTTGAAAAACTGAATTATAAAAAATTGATATAACGATAATAAAATCGTTGTATTAATATTTAAAAATATTCACAATCAATTCTAATTCGCAATGACCAGCCAAGAGATGAATAGTAATTTTGATTGATAATATATGTATATCTGGGGCAATATGATTTTCACAATCGCTAAGGATCTTTTGTTATATTTTATGCATATTTTTGTTTTTAAAAAGAACATTACCCCTTATTCTTATAAAGTTGCTGGTTTCGAATAGCAAAATTGAGGGCTGGTATACTTTTACTAGTGAACTGATAAAATCATAGTGTTTTAACCAGTCTTTTTCCTATAATTTCGGATTAAATGATCGTTACTGCAGGATTTATAATTATTATTATTTTGTTTTTGCTCGCCGAGAATCTTGTTTGAGTTAGAATGTTGTCTCTCGATTATAATTAAATGAAGCAAAGAAATAAAGTTCATTTTTGGACATTTGTCTAAGATATCTTTTCCTTGTCTCAATACTTTAATTCATCATGCAAGCTTTGCACATATTAATGCTCGCGATAGCAATTTTTCTATTTGTTGAAGCATTCATCTTCTTCTACGTCGTCTTTGACTACAAAATCTCAGGATCAACATCTCAAGTCACCCTACCTATCTTTAACCTAATTTTGATTTGGCTATCACAAGGTATAATGAAGCGCCCATCTTGCTTGCAAATTCAAAATTTGGTTTGCTTTATAAATTTGCCAAGCATTGGCAGGTGGCATAATTATTAGTGAGGTCCCGGTATCAACGATTCCTTCATGGTTGGCCATTGACCAAAAAGTTTTCAGGGATCCTCTAGATTTATCCAGGTAAGTGGTTCAAATATCTATCTGGATTAATTCCGCCAATTGTTAATTCGCTTTTCTTACCTTCACCTCTATCAAGCAAAAAAAAAGAAAATTGTGGTTGATCGAGGTTCTTTTTGGTTTATAAGGTTGGAGGTTGGTGTGATTTGCTGGATGTACTTGCTACTGCTGAATGCCGTCATATTCGAGGTCACTAAAATCTTCGGAAAGAACATTAGCTATGCGATTCCGCCGCAAGATCCTCACCTTCGAAAATGTCGAAAGTGTCGTGCCTGATGTCCCCGATACCTTTCCTTTAACATACGTAACATTGAATGGTTTGGCGAGACCTATGAAACATTATCCATGGTTGAAATTTATCCTCCATATAAGTGAAGTACTGTCTACCAAAAAAAAATCGGTTGATCCTGTATCGAATAGTACGTCAAAATTCTGGACGTCTCCGAAATAACAAATGTCCGGTTGTTTCTTTTAAAGGATGTATGCAGCATTTTCGTCCAATGCGATTTCCGAGTCAGATTTGGTAAATTAAAATAACCTCAATCTCCCCGATAAGCTTATTATCCAAAGCTGTTTACAGTCAAATAAACTCTGGTTAATTATTTGGCGATTACTAAAAATAATGATAAAATGACATCAAATTTACGTGAAAATCCTCTATCATGATTTCTTTTTTTGTTATTTTCGCTTCAATGGAATCGGTTTTTCCCAAAAAAAAATTTGAACATTCGAATTCATAATGGAAGATAAATTGCACGCTTTTTTAAATTTCATAAGCTTGCGGATCCTGTTTTAGTAACGATATTCATGCAGTGTAACACAATGATGAGCATTGTGTAACTTCGTTTCTCGAAATTTTAAAGGTCGAGACATGGTTATATATGGTGATTTAGTATGCGACCAATGAAATAGCGTAGCGTGAGAAAATGCTTAGTTAGAACCTGTTTTAGTAACGATATCCATGCAATGTAACACGATGATGAGAATTGTGTAACTTCGCATCTCGAAATTTTAACGGTCGAGACATGGTTATATATGGTGATGTAGCGACCAATGAAATAGCCCAGCGTGAGAAAAATTAATGAGAACAAGTTCCGATGTAAAATTTTTTTTTTATTTTCACATCCGTTCGCTTCAATGTAATCGGTGTTTTTCCCAAAAAAAATTTGAACATTCGAATTCACGCTATTTTATATCCACAAGCTTGCCTGCGGATCCTGTTTTAGTAACGATATCCATGCAATGTAACACAATGATGAGCATCGTGTAACTTCGTTTTCTCGAAATTTTAACGGTCGAGACATGGTTATATATGGTGATGTAGTATGCGGCCAATGAAGTAGCCCAGCGTGAGAAAATCTTAATGAGATCAAGTTCCGATGTAAAATCCTTTTTTATTATCACATCCGTTCGCTTCAATGTAATCGGTGTTTTTCCCAAAAAAATTTGAACATTCTAATTCATAATGTGCACGCTATTTTATATCCCACAAGCTTGCCTGCGGATCCTGTTTTAGTAACGATATTCATGCAATGTAAAACAATGATGAGCATTGTGTAACTTCGCATATCGAAATTTTAACGGTCGAGACATGGTTATATATGGTGATGTAGCGACCAATGAAGTAGCCTAGCGTGAGAAATGCTTAATTAGAACCTGTCTTAGTAACGATATTCATGTAGTGTAACACAATTATGAGCATCGTGTAACATCGTTTTCTCGAAATTTTAACGGTCGAGACATGGTTATATATGGTGATTTAGTATGCGGCCAATTAAATAGCCCAGCGTGAGAAAATCTTAATGAGAACAAGTTCCGATGTAAAATCCTTTTTTATTTTCACATCCGTTCGCTTCAATGTAATCGATGTTTTTCCCAAAAAATTTGAACATTCGAATTCACAATGTGCACGCTATTTTATATCCACAAGCTTGCCTGCGGATCCTGTTTTAGTAACGATATCCATGCAATGTAACACAATGATGAGCATCGTGTAACTTCGTTTTCTCGAAATTTTAACGGTCGAGACATGGTTATATATGGTGATGTAGTATGCGGCCAATGAAGTAGCCCAGCGTGAGAAAATCTTAATGAGATCAAGTTCCGATGTAAAATCCTTTTTTATTATCACATCCGTTCGCTTCAATGTAATCGGTGTTTTTCCCAAAAAAATTTGAACATTCTAATTCATAATGTGCACGCTATTTTATATCCCACAAGCTTGCCTGCGGATCCTGTTTTAGTAACGATATTCATGCAATGTAAAACAATGATGAGCATTGTGTAACTTCGCATATCGAAATTTTAACGGTCGAGACATGGTTATATATGGTGATGTAGCGACCAATGAAGTAGCCTAGCGTGAGAAATGCTTAATTAGAACCTGTCTTAGTAACGATATTCATGTAGTGTAACACAATTATGAGCATCGTGTAACATCGTTTTCTCGAAATTTTAACGGTCGAGACATGGTTATATATGGTGATTTAGTATGCGGCCAATTAAATAGCCCAGCGTGAGAAAATCTTAATGAGAACAAGTTCCGATGTAAAATCCTTTTTTATTTTCACATCCGTTCGCTTCAATGTAATCGGTGTTTTTCCCAAAAAAATTTGAACATTCGAATTCATAATGTGCACGCTATTTTATATCCACAAGTTTGCCTGCGGATCCTGTTTTAGTAACGATATTCATGCAATGTAACACGATGATGAGCATTGTGTAACTTTCGCATCTCGAAATTTTAACGGTCGAGACATGGTTATATATGGTGATGTAGTATGCGACCAATGAAGTAGCCTAGCGTGAGAAAATGCTTAATGAGAACAGGTTTCAAGATGTAAAATTTTTTTTGTTATTTTCACATCCGTTCGCTTCAATGGAATTGATGTTTTCCAAATAAAATTTGAACATTCGAATTCATAATGTGTACGCTTTTTTAAATTTACAAATTTTCTTGCGGATCCTGTTTTAGTAACGATATCCATGCAATGTAACACAATGATGAGCGTTGTGTAACTTCATTTCTCGAAATTTTAACGGTCGAGACATGGTTATATATGGTGATTTAGTACGCGGCCAATGAAATAGCGTAGCGTGAGAAAATTGCTTAATTAGAACCTGTTTTAGTAACGATATTCATGCAATGTAACACAATGACGAGAATCGTGCAACTTCGTTTCTCGAAATTTTAACGGTCGAGACATGGTTATATATGGTGATGTAGTATACGACCAATGAAGTAGCCCAGCGTGAGAAAAATTAATGAGAACAAGTTCCGATGTAAAATCTTTTTTTTTTTTATTTTCACATCCGTTCGCTTCAATGTAATCAGTTCTTTTCCCAAAAAAAATTTGAACTTTCGAATTCATTATGTGCACGCTTTTTTAAATTCACAAGCTTGTCTGCGGATCCTGTTTTAGTAACGATATCCATGCAATGTAACACAATGATGAGCATTGTGTAATTTCGTTTCTCGAAATTTTAACGGTCGAGACATGGTTATATATGGTGATGTAGTATGCGGCCAATGAAATAGCGTAGCGTGAGAAAATTGCTTAATTAAAACCTGTTTTAGTAACGATATTCATGCAATGTAACACAATGATGAGCGTTGTGTAACTTCATTTCTCGAAATTTTAACGGTCGAGACATGGTTATATATGGTGATTTAGTATGCGGCCAATAAAATAGCGTAGCGTGAGAAAATTGCTTAATTAGAACCTGTTTTAGTAACGATATCCATGCAATGTAACATAATGACGAGCATCGTGTAACTTCGTTTCTCGAAATTTTAACGGTCGAGACATGGTTATATATGGTGATGTAGTATACGACCAATGAAGTAGCCTAGCGTGAGAAAATGCTTAAGAGATGTACAACTGGTTTTTTTGGAAAAGCTTATAAATGAGTTCATATATTTGGATAAATACAGGTGAGAAATTGGGAAATTATTTTTTTTTTCAAGATTAAATTGGTTTGTAAATAATATTATTCCTATTTATTTGCCGTCTCAGACTGAACTTCGAATTAGATTGTCGTTATGGATCTGAAAAACAATAGCGTCTTTCTGAGCTTTACAAAAAAGTATCCGTAACCACATTCAGTGTCATAACTACATCTGGTTTTGTCATAGTTAGAATCGAGGCTTATTTCATAATAAATTCTCGATAAGTCCTTTTCAGGATCAGATGACTTTAAAATTAAGTAATTTCGGATCAATCGATCTCCATTCTTGTTCCTTTGACGGTATCCTACATGCAAAAATTCTCGAAGTCAATGACAACCATCAGTTTATTCAAAAAATAGTTCAGATAAAGAAAATAGTCGAAAGTTTTCTTTGCAAGTTGTGAAAATAATTAGCCAGATCTACAGATAATCCTACACAATTTAACCATTATATCAAACAAATTTTATTGGAAGTACAAGAATTATTTGCATTAGGATTTGAAGGAGACAAAAATACTTGAACAATTAATTGTAGATATTGAATTTCAATATTTTCTTTTTTCTTTTTTTTTTTTTTTTTAGAAAAACTATCAATAATAGTTTATGGTTTTAGGTAGTGCATTTGCATTGAATTCGATGTTTACAAAGTTGTTCAACCTGTATAAATTAATCGACATTTCTTAGGGAAAATATTGAGAGGGTTAGTTTAAAAAGTGCAAAATTTGCTTGTTAATCATAATATTCAACCGTCAGTCCAAGGACAAATCATATACTATCCAATGTGTCAATCAAGTGCGCATGGAGGGAGAGTGTTTGATCACCAACATACAGTGTACACCATTAACACGACACGAAACCAAAAATAAAAATAAAATAAAATAAAAGCACTCATGTAACTCCTTGTTTTTTTTTTTTAAAAAAAAAAATTTATTTCATCATTGAGAATTTGAACAATCTTGAAAAACATATTTAAAAGTTTACATACATAACGATGAAGCTATCAAATTTAAATTCATTAATGTTTACGGTATCATTCCTTACGTTCTCGTCGGCACAAAAAATTCTTGATGCCTCTCCATTAATCACATCATCCAATTCAGAATTCGGAGGAGCGATTGAAGGTGCATCAGTGGATGTGAATGGGAATATTTTCGCAACAAATTTTGACGCAAAGTTATTCAATGTTGGTAGAATTACACCATCACAATCTCTTTATCATACTTCTACATCATTGGGAACAAAATTCAATGGTATAAGATTCATTCCATTAACAAAATCGCAAGTTGATCAAGGTATTAAAAGTGTAGCATTTTTGGCCAATGTAAATGAAAATCAAATTGCGAAAATCGTTGAAGACAAGGATGGCAAGATCGAACAAAGTTCATTCTGTCAAGATCAAACTTTATCCTTACCAAATGATGTAGCGTTTAGTTATCTACATGATAAAATTTATATCTCTGCACAAAATTTTACTGAAGATACCGTTATAGGTGATGGAGGTTTATGGATCTGTGATGGTAAAAGTGGTGAAACGATGAAACTTGAATCATTTGGTAGAACAAATGGTGTAGAGGTGTCTCCTGACGAAACGACTTTATACCTTTCGGAAGCTTTTAATAAAGGTGCTAAAGTGATATCAAATAAAATTTGGAAATTTGATATAGATCAAAGTACAGGAAAAGTATCTAATCAAGCACTTTTCGTGGATTTTGAAAAATTAGATGGTACTCAAGCGATTGATGTTGATGGCATGAGGACCGACATTGATGGGAATTTGTATGTCACGAGACACGGTGAAGGTCAGGTTGTAGTATTTTCCTCTAAAGGTTCAATTATATCTAGAGTGAAATTAAGTTCTATTATCAAAACTACCAATTTGGAATTTGGCGGTAAAGATGGGAAAACTTTGTTCGTTGTTGGCGCTTGTAAAGATGATGATACGAAAGGTTGTGTAGACACCGTTCAAAATGATGTGCTCGGTAGAGCGTTTTCTGCTTTAAAATCTCTAAACGGAAAGAGATAATAAATAGATTTTAAGAATTAGCAAATTCAATGATTTATTTAATAGATTACTTGTAATTTTAATGAAATTTCGAACTCAATAAAGCAAATGAATAAGAGAAACTTTCATTTTCGAGAGAAAATAAAATTATATGCATGATGATATAAACGCCAACCGGCGGCTTTTAAATTATAAAATAAAATAAATATACATATAGCAAATTCAATGAATTATTTATTAGATTACTTGTAATTTTAGTGAAATTTCGAACTCGATAAAGCAAAAGGAATAAGAGAAACTCTCAGAAAATAAAATTATATACATGATGATATAAATGCCAACCGGCGGCTTTTGAAAATGTAAATGATAAATATAAATTAAATATACATATAAATTTATACATGAAAAAAAATTATTGATAAATTTTGAGTAATTAAAAAGGGGGCGGGTTAGGTGGGACAAAATTTGAAGAGGAATCGGGTATAACGATAATCCTGAAGCCGGGGATGTTAAATACGAAAATTCCAGGAGGAGAATTAATCGTCGTGTTAGAGATATTATTATTACCAGTCAACGGTGGGTTTTGGTGCTCATTAGCATGATTAGCATGATGATGATACATAGCAGGGTAAAATTGAGTTGAAGGACTATAGTCCATCATGGGTTGTTGGCCAACATTTCCTTGGTAAGGTGTTGAGAAGGTATTACCAGGATAACCATTCGTGTGGCTGTAAGCATCATCATTAATATTTGATGAAGTATCGCTATAAGTTGGTGTTTGCAAATTGGAATAATTATTGTTATTTTGTGGGTGATTATTTTGTGACATGGTTGTTGTTTCATGCAATGCGTTAATATATTGTGGTAATAGGAATTAAACGCACATTTATACGAAAAATCGTGGTCTATCACACAAATAAAAAACATGTGTTGAAATTAAAAAAAAAAATACAAAGATATTCATCTTGGCATCTACTCGGACCGTCAAACTTGGCAATAGAATAATTGTCATTCTTGTTGTTTAATTCTTTGTTCCTAAAAAAAGACTAAAAATATTACCTACCTATTTCCGATAAAGGATTCCTCAATTTGACACAGGAGGAAAAGTCATGAGATATAAATTAGATAGGAATAGTCGAAAAAGGAAAAGACAAACAAATTATCTCGTAGATTGCTTTGTTCATATTACCGTTTATGTCTTTGCAAAAGCCAATATTTCGGCTATATATTTATTACCTTGGAAAAGTATCCAGCCAAGCCTTGCTGAAACATTTATTTGTGTCGGTGTATTACATTTTAACTCAAAATGGCCTAAATCCAGAAGTTTATTCAAAAGGGAATTTTCAATTTTATTTATTATTGATATACAGAATTGGTTAGCGCAAATGTAGTATCACAAACAGGAACAAATTTCAGGAAGGTTTTCTTTTTTTGTTGGTTGAAAAGAACTATTTTTATGTAGGGCTTTAAATTTTGAAAGATTTACTAACCAATCTTGGAGTAAATTGTGTAATTCCTGTTCTGGTTAGTTGGAATAACCGCAAAATTTTTGGTTCCGCTAACCAATTTCGATTTCTTGCCAATCCAGGACTTTTTGTATCACATATCACGAATTTTAGCAAGGTTTCTATTAGGGTACGCGATCTGACATGGTTTATCCTATATTGGACATAACCGTAAACAATGAATTTAAGGTAATTTAACAATGAAAATATTACTATATGTTACATCAATTCATTTTCTTGCTAAGAATGGCGATATTTTTTCAAAATCCCGAAAGATTCCGTTCCCCGAAACCTAATTTGGAAAATTCCAAAACTTACACAATCTTACATACATACTTCAAATCCATTTGTGGTTGTTACTTATATTTCTACCTTGATTTAGTTCAAAGTTTAAAGATTGTCATGAAAACCCCTTTTGGAAGGGTATATAAAAATCTGCATAATATAATCCATACATAGTTAACAAAAAGAACCAAATTTATCGAAAGATACTATACGAGTTTTTTTTAAAAAAAAAAAGCCAAGTTGAAAAACATTCGACACTTTGATTGGAATTGGATAATTTTAAAACATGAGAACAATATATTAAAATTTCTTTTATAAAATAAATGTGGCTTGTTTTGCATAAATAAGAAATCTATTTATAAAAATAATTAAAATATTTATTAATTTAATAGTTGGAACCTTTATTGGGGATTTCCGATTTCCATCTCATTTTCAATTTAATTCAATTACTATTTTTAATAGATTGTGTATTACCAAAACAAAACACGACATTGGCGTGCAACCCAAAATTAGGGATAAAATGAATCTTTTTTTTTTTTCTTTTTCTTTCCCCCTTACAATTCAATTTCAACTTTTTTTTTTTTTAATTTTTTTGATCCTTATTTTTTTTTTTTCCTTTTTTTTTTTTTTTTTTTTTTTTTTTTTTAATTTTTTTTTTTTTTTTTTTTTTAAAAAAAAAAAAAAAAAAAAAAAAAAAAAAAATTTTTTTAAAAAAAAAAAAAAATTTTATATAAAAAAAAAAAAAAAAAAAAAAAAAA